ACCTGCAGCAATCGGCTCGGTGGCTTTGGTCCTGATCCCACTGGCCATGTCTTCCAGCAGGGCTGGAGAGGCGAACGGGCATTTCAAACAGCCACGCACTGAGCATCGCGCAAAGGGAAGCAAGCCCCCAAGCCTGGCAGCAGATGCCAGGCCAGAAGGCAGATCCCCGGGTCTTTGGGGGCAGGCCCCAGGGTCCAGAAATGCTTCTGAGCGAGGCAAAGGGGCAGCACCTGGGAAAAGCCTCGTACGACCAAGGCGGTGCTGGAACGAACAGACTGGGCTGAGCTGTGGGTGGGACCAAGAGGCAGGATCTGGCCCGTTCTTTCTGGCTGGGGGCACCTGGCTTACGGCTGGGCGAGAGCCGGGTGAGTACAGCAGATCCAGCTGGCTCGGCGCCCCCCCGGTCTGTAGTGACCCCTTCCAGTAGGTATGAGGAGCAGCATTCACAAGGGGCCCCGCTCCCTTTCCACGGGGGGCCTTGGGCTGGTCTGGGTCTGAGCGAGTCTCTCCAGGAAGCGGGTGCATCTGATCGTGGAGACATGGAGTGGGAAGGGGTCGGGGGGTAACTAGTCCAACCCCCGCCACTAGAGCAAACTCACCCACCCTGAGCCGTGCAAAGTCGCACGTTGTGCCACCCTCCCTCGACAAATCCAGGGACTGGCCTTACAACGGAGCGTGTAAACGTCCTGAACATGGGGCTCTTGGCCTGCTGGCGGCTGTGCTCTTAGATCTCAGGTTTTCAGCTGTCTCAGCAGCCACCAATGCTGAACGCAAGCTGAGAGACGGCTGACCTCCGGGAGCTAGGGCTTAACGAACAGCACCATGGCGCACGAGACTTGTGATACAGGCACAAGACATGGCGCACGTTCCCAATCACCGTTTCTTTCGCTTTCTCCTGCCGCGTTGGCGCTGTTCCCGGTGGTGGGAATTCCCCTCGGACATGAGACATGTTGGCCATGAGAATCACAGAACCACCAAGATTTCAGGCTGGAATGGCTCTTGACAGGTCATCTAGAGCAGTGTTTCTCAACCAGTGGTACGCGTACCCTTAGGGGTACTCGAGAAAAATCAGGGGGGGGGGAGGAGGGAAACATCACCACAACTGAAATTTGGAGAAAAACTGAATGTTTGTTTTAAGTTTTACAGCGTTTTATTATTTTTGTACTTTTTACACCCAAAAATGTCATCGCCCATCCGGCTACGATTAAGTTCTTTAAACAAATGTGTTGCAACGGTAGAAAAAAATGTTCATCTGAAAACTGTAGATACTGGAGGGTTCTTATGATTTTTTTTAAAAGGGGTATTTTATATAAAAAGGTTGAGAAACACTAATCTAGCCCAGCTGTCTCAAACTCCGGCTTGTGGGCCATCCCCAACTGGAGCAGTTGAGCGATCTGGCCCAGGA